GTTATCTAAAGATAACATGATGAACTATTTTCATGAACTTTTTGGCACTGTATTTAAACATGCAATGTTTCATGCAGTTCCTTGTCATATTAACAAAATGATTATATTTTCTACAGTCCTCAACCTGGAAGATATGTTTTATTCCCAACCATCTATAATCCATTCTCTATGAAGTTCAGCCTGTCTGCCCAAATTCCTTTGGAAATACATAGTTAGTCAACCAACATAGAAACAATCAAACTTGAAGGTAAAGTTTCAATGAGATATCATTTTCATTTATTTAATTCTGTTTTATTTAAATGTTTATATTTTAAAATGGATAAAAAAAAAATGGATAAAAAACATCTGATAATGGAAATCAATATCATAAAGATAGTAAGTTTTTTAGTGTCTAAATAATTAATCTGATAATCATTTTATTTATGATATTAATACAGTAGTTGTGCTTGTTTATTATCTATAGATAACATGATGAACTTTTCTCACCTGGAGTTAATGTTAAAAACAATTTTTTGAGATTAAAAACAAATATTTTCATGATCTTTTTTGGCATTGTACATGTTGTATTTAAACATGCATTGTTTCATGCAGTACTCTGTCATATTAACAAAATGGTTTTATTTCTACAGTCCTCAACATGGAAGAATTGGTTTGTTCTTAACCATCTATAATCCATTCTCTATGAAGTGAAGCCTGGCTGCTGGTCTTCCTTTGGAAATACACAGTTTGTCAATCAACATAGAAACACACAAACTTGAAGGTAAAGTTTCAATGAGATACAATTGTAATTTTTATTTATTTATTTATTTATTTACATATGCATTTTTATATTTTGGAATTGATAAGTAAATGATATATGATTTTTTTTTTAAAATAAAGAGGGCTTGGTGGTCATGGTCATGTTTAAACCATATTGATATCCTTCACAAGAAAAGGCATAAAAATCATGATCAAATTTTAAAACTAAAATGTATGAAGTTTTTCTTTGCCAAATGATAGTTAACAGCTAAAGATAGCATATCTATAGAATAAGTTAAATATGGCTAATTTGTAAACCCCCAGCTTCCTTAATAGCATAGTTGGTAAAGATAAGAAGTTTTGACTTCAATTGCTGATGAATTCTGAATTTTCCATTTAATATTAACATTATATCAAAGGGAAAGAATACTATAATGTGGCTCATTAGGATGACCATAAAAGAAATCTTAATGACCCTCTTGACTATGTATAAAGATTGTAACCTTATAACTGATGTAAGATGATCTGATTGTGTGGAAATAACATTCCCTGGTGTTTCTACTAACCAAGATCTTTTTCTGAGTGTATGGGACTGCTGTAAACCTTCTCCTGTTTATAAAAATAATACTTTGGAGCATGACACTTTATTCATAAAAGGTACTTTCAATATAATTTCTATGAGTTTGTGTTCTTTCTTTTATAATAATCTATAGTGTTATATCTCCTTTAACCTCATTAATATGCATGCTTCCAAAATCTTAGATCTGTCTGTATAGTTTCTTCAGGTCTTTGAACACAAATACCCTGATTCAATCTTTTGAGGTAGACATCATAGAGACATCGTAGATGATAATATCAGAATGTATATATCACAATCTTGATCATAAGTTCAATTTAAATGGTCTTAGGCACAACAAATGAAAGTTAAAACTTTTTTTTTTAATTAGAATACATAATTTTGTAATAAACAAATACTGGAAAAGTTACTCTCATAATGAGCCTTAATGTCTTCCAAGAGTTCAGTTTGGACTTCCTCCATTAATCCTTGTATCTTGTAATCCTTGTATCTCCAATGGTTTTGTGGGCTAAAAATCATGTGTCTTTAAGAATCTTTTTTTTTCTGACAACTGTTTTCTCTTATCATCTATAAACTTGACTTCTTCTCTAGTCAAAGGTCTTTCAGGGTAATCCAAGTAATTCTTACCCTCTTTTGGTAATAAATGGTTATATTCCTCATTGGCTTCTTCTGCAATCAAGGGTCTTTCTATGTAATCTCTGACAACATTAGGATCACCCTTCTCTGGACTTAATTGGTTATATTCTTGTTGAGAAATGATCTCACTAGTGCCATCTTTTTTTATTTTAACTGCTATACCTCTGTCTACATCTTTCTCTGAAAGAATTCTCTCTCCAAACTGAATTTTACTCATTCCTTTACTCTTTTCTTTACTGGAGGTGTTACCCATGGTTAATATGGAAAGTCAAAATCTTATGTTACAACTTGTATTTATACCCTTTTTGTCTATATTTAGAATTCCATCAAGCTTATATTGCATTACAATTTTTCTTTTTCAACTAAGACATTATTTTTTTGATTTTTTCAGGATTCTCTTGTGAGGGCTTATGGAAATGATCTATGTCTACTCTTAGAATGGTGAAAGACTTTCAGATTATGCAAAGACTAACAGAATATCCTCTCTTGGAACACTGAAACAAGAAAACCAAACTTAAAGTAGGGGTCTAGTCGTGTGACGTCATAACCGGATCGATCTCCCGGATAGGTTTTTAACACTATTATTTATCGATAACATCCCGCAGTAATGGCGGCAAGAAATAAGAAGGGGAAATTCGTGAAATCCACTCGTATAAAGCAAAATGAAGTCCTGAGGAGAGAGTGTGTAAAATATTGGGACCGCAGTGATGAAAATACTTCCAAAGAAAATGTTGAAACACCAGTAATCACTCCAGTTACGAACGAAGACCATGTGTATCACTGTGTTGACCCTCTTGCTAGCGATGTCCGTGTTGCTAGAGAGGAAATTGTTGAGCCAACAGGTAAAAATGATTGGAGCGAAGGTAGACGTATAATCGAACTTGGTATCCTTGCAAATAATTTAAAGGAGTGCAAGAGATGTGGGCAACCTTTGCATTTATCCGATTGTGTTGGAGAGACTAGATTCGGACTCGCTCAAATTCTCCAAGTGCAGTGTAGATACCAGGAGTGTAGGCTACTTAATGATGTCCCAACAGGCAAAAAACATCTAACAGAAAAGGGAGGAAAAGCATGGGATATTAATACGAAAGTAGCAGTAGGTAAGTGTATAATAAGTATGAAATAAACTTGGATAAAATTGTGTACATTGGTGCAATAGATATTACAAAAATAAATTACTAGCCCGTTGCGCTAGTGACTAGCCCATTAACTACCGAAAACAATACATGTATAAGTATAACATAAAGGTTAAAAAAAAATATTGAAGTTGAAATAAAACAAATAATGGTTTGCGCTTTGTAATTGTCAGGTACTTCCCCCTATTTATATCGACTATAATTGTCAGTGAGATGACTGGCGATAGGAACACACAATGCATATAGGTTAAAACGAATTCAAGATTTTGATTTTTCAGAAAAGTTAATTCGTACCTAAATTCAGTCGAGGTAAATATATGTTTACTTTCGTTTTAGATTTACTAGCCTGACGGGCTAACGCAGTATAGATTTAAGATAGCTGACCTCTTAAATTGGTAGCCCCGGGTGTCGGGCGATGGTGATTGCACACCCCTGTTTTAATCTTTGATTATTGTTTTAAATAATTGTGTTTGTAATATTTTAGGAATGATCAATGGTGGCTTTGGAGAGTCTCATTTAAATGCCTTCTTAGCAGTACTAAACATTCCAGGAATTTCAAAGGGAGGTCTAAAGGAAAGGGAAAGGGAAGTTGGCAGTACACTGAGTAAAATGGCAGAAGAAAGTTGTCAAACCAGTCTATTAGACGGAAGTTGAAAAGTACGTTTATTGGTATTTGTCAAAATAATTTGAATTATTGAAAAAAAAAAATAGAAATTTCATGCATGATAATTATTGGATTTTTCTTCAGGAGTGATGGTAATCTCACTGTCAGCTTCGATGGTGCCTGGCAAAAACGGGGTACTGGGCGTGCCTACAATAGCCTTACAGGTATTTTTTGATGGTTTAAAAAAGTCATCAATTATCCTATTTAGTAATTTGAATTGGATGCTTTGACTTTTCACTGATTACTAAAATAATACAAAGTATTTACTGCTATTGAACAATTTTCTTTATGTTTGAAGGACATGCAAGTTTGATCGGAGAAAAAGCCAAGAAATATGTTGGTTATGCTGTAAAATCTAAAAAATGCAGAATATGTGACTTGGCAAAACGGAAGGATGTTCCTGTGAGGAAGCACAAATGCAGTCGAAACTGGTCAGGGTCAGCCAAATCTATGGAACCTGCTATGGCTTGTGAGATGGTGCAGAGCATAAAAGATCAAGGTGAAAAGGTATGAAATGTATAGATATGTTCGATTTTATATCAATATATCTGTGTACATTCAATATTCAAAATCCATGAAGAGCTAAGAGGTGAAAGCGCTATGAATTAAAATGCCACCTTCCATGAAATCTTTATTAAATATTTATATATATGTGAAGATTGTAAATGAAAGTGCTAATGCATTACTGTTTTTTATTTTGCTTATAATTATAAAATATTGTTAGGTTTCCACGTTAGTAATGGACAACGATTCTACAACAATAGCCAGATTGAGAGCAACTGTTGATCCAGATATAAAGAAAAAGGTGGACAGCAATCACATGAAAAAGGGGTTTACTGGAAGTCTTGTGGAAATCAGCAATACCCATAAAGTATTGAAAAATGTTAAAGTTAGAACACACATTGAGAGATGCTTTACATATTGTGTTCATCAGGCATCTGAAGATCCAGAAAAGTTAGCTAATGATCTGGGGAAAATTGTTCCTCATTTATATGGTAAGAATACTACTTGCAAAAAGAATGAACATATATTTAAGTTTGACACTGGCAAGAAAAATAATTTTGTTTTCTAATTATTTTTAGAAATTTTTAGAAATTGGTCTGAGTTCATGATAATGTATGAATGCTGTATTTGTATTAGTGTATTTAATCTTGAAAGGGGACCATTCCATGTGTGGCACATGGTGCAGGAGTGAACAGACTGGTTACAAACCAAAAAACTTGCCATATGGGAAACCTCTTACAAGTGAGCCTCTGAGATCAGCTCTAGAAAAACTGTTTGAGAAGTATGCAGACCGGGCAACTGAGTTGGTGTCGATGGGATCCACTCAAGTGAATGAAAATTTTAACCACATGGTCTCTAGCAAAGCGCCTAAAAGAATGTAAGAATTTTTTATTTTCAAATTTATGAAATCATAAAAACCATGCACATAGATAAAACATGTACCTTTTATTAATTAGACTATGTCACCTAAACTGTTCATAGGTTTTATGGAGGTTCAGACAGTCTGCATAGTAGAGTATCTGCAACTGTCTGTCAGAAAAATGAGGGGTATAATTATATAACTGAGGTATACAAATGAAAAAAAATGTTCTTTGATGTTCTTTTGATGTTCACACATGGCAGTTTAGGCAATGTCAATAAAGTAAAGTATTTAAAAGGAAACATCAAAAATACCATTACATAGCCTAAACTTGTTTGTGTAGTTTTTGTTCTTGTCTTGTTTACATTTTTTTATTTACTTGACGCAGTTGAAATCATTTTTAATGCATGATTAATTTCTAAGGGTTTTGAAAGTTCTTCGAGAATTATATCTATAAAATGTGTGAATTTATTGTTACAGTAAAACTCGTTTAGTATGAACATGGATATTGCAAATTCACGGATATAGCGAAGTCATCTTGGATCCCCATCTATATAAATTTAATGAACTTCTTATATGGATATAAAGAATTGCGGATATAGTGAAGTAATTTTATAGGTCCCGGTGACTTCGTTATAACCGAGTTTTGCTGTAATACATTTTAATGCAGACACATTTGATTTTTTACTCCATAAAATATATAATCTCTTTACTTAAAAAAAAAATTACATGTTTTACATATTGATAAGGATCTGTTGATTCTTCTTTTTTTTCTTTTCCAGAAAAAGTTTTCAATTTCATATTTTCTATTTTTCTCAGGTGAATAAAAGACTGACAATGTCTCCTGGAAGATACACCCTCAAGCATTCCAGGATCCTACAAAGCAGACTGAAGCTGAAGCGATTACAACAAGCAAAGCGGAGCACAAAGCGGAGGTGCTTAGAGCTGAAGACAGAGCGGTCTGCAAAAGATGCATCACAATCTGTTCTTGAAGGTAAGTCAGATAAATACTATTTATCTGAAACTTAATTTATATGTGTGATGTTTGTTTGTTTTTACCTATCATTTTTTCCGAACATTTCTATTGCAGCGGATACATACAGCAGCAAAATTGGTTTGAGTGATGAAGTTGATTTGGAGGACATTTCTTTGAATAAATTAGATCAACTACCAAGTACCAACAAATCTTACATGGTATTTGACCTAGAGACTACTGGTTTAGGTTTGTGAACTAGTTTTTTTCTTTGTAGAAATAGCTAAGGAATATATTATATAAGGTTAAGAGAATTGTGTTGCACTTGACTTAGAAGTATACACTATGGGAGTTTCAATATTTATTTTTATTTATTTCAGCCAGGACATCAGACATTGTTCAGATTGCAGCTGTATGTGGAGAGAGAGAGTTCAACATGTACTTGACACCGCAGTCCCCAATTAGTCTTGATGCATCTGCAGCAACTGGCCTTACTTTTGTTGGTGGTGTGCTGAAGCATAATGGCAAGAAGGTGGACCATAAAGAGCCCTTTGAAGGACTTCAGCAGTTTGTTGAATTTTTGAAGACTGTTGATTGTAAACCTATTTTGGTTGGGCACAATATACAATGTTTTGACCTACCAGTGTTAATGAATCAGCTAGTCAAATGTAAATTACTTGACAGTTTTGCTAGCACTGTCACTGGTTTTATAGATACCTTACAAGTGTCTAGGAAATCTTTCAGCAAAGATGATGTTAAAGATTTTAAACAAGTCACTCTTGTAAATACTTTCATTGGAAAAGATTATGAAGCTCATAATGCTATTGCTGATGTGAAGGCATTGAGGGAACTTTTTGAAATGAAGTTGTTGGCTCTGTGTTCAGCTAATGATGTGTTCACATTGAATTATTATACCATAAAGAAGTCTTTAGAGCCCCTTGTTAAGGCAAAGATTGTATCTTCCATGATTTCGAAGAAGTTGATTGCAAATTCTCTTAGTTTGTCTAAATTGGTGCTAACCCACAAGAGGGATCCACATAATGGGTTACGAAATGTTTTTAGTGAACCATTATCAGGTTCAAAGCAGCCTAGAATATCCAAGTCATCTAATGTAATCAACAAATTGGTTGAATATTTGAATAGCTGTGAATGATTACTGTTTGTATGTATTTTAATTTAGACAATACAGTGTGTAAAATAAAGGTCTAAAAACTTGTATGGGAGATTTCAGTCAACACTCAACCTAACATTAGACTGTATTTTTTTTATGCTGACTGTTAATATTCTGTTGTATACTAATTTTTTGTGTATACTGTTGAACACATAATTGGATGTATTTTGACTCAATGTAGTGGAAAGAGTAATGCTTCAAAATTGATGACTGATTAGACTGTGGATTTTCATTTCATTTTTTACTTGAAAAACAGATACATGTACATGTATAATATGTGAAATATATCTGTAATTAATGGCACACAGAAAGTATTATAGGTTTTAAAATTATATTATATTCTAAAGAATGTTGTTATTCTTTTGCAGTTATGCATCTATGAAATGAAATAAAAGTCATCAATAGCTTTGTATTTTTTATCTTCCATTATTTGAAATTCCTTATCAAAAATCTCAATTTGGACAAAAAAAGTATAAATAAATGGTGGTGCTGAGAAAAAATATATGCTGGCAATGTGCTGTTTTTTTAATTTAACTTTAACAAATAGTCATAGATGAACATAATTTGAGAATTTGACTGAAAAATCACAAGTCAATTTTTTTTTACAATAATTTTAATAGTGTTGTACTTCCAAGTTTTGGGGCTGGTCGAGGGTTGTATTTTGTTCAATTTAGTCCCCAAAAACCAAGGAAAATATAATAAGAATAAAATTTTACTGTAATTTGTTTAATTGGATATATTTCTTTGATTTTAATAGGAAAAATCATTCAATAGCATCAAAATTAGTGTTTTTATGTACAAATTATGTGAAACCTTTATTGGAATCTCATATCGTCAATTGAAAAATGGGGGTACCTATGTTTGAGAAACTCTCTCTCAATAAAAATACTGACAACCCCTTCTTTTTTCCAATTCATCATACGTTAGTATGAACAATCTAAACATCTGAGAACAATTTTTTGAAAAATCACAAGTAGGTCCAGTACTAGGGTGTTGGGTGAGGCTAACTTTACACCATCCTTTTTTTCCATAATGATTATTTACACATTATAGCCACTATCTACATGAAATGTCATGAGTTATAAAGGAAAAGGGTCCTTCAAATGTTCCTCAATTTAGTGTGGATATATAGTTTTAAATATTATTACTACTTGGAAATTTATGGGTCTTTTGTCTTTACCATCCCTTATAACAGAGATTCTTCAAAATTGCATGAAGAATTCCATGAGTTTAACTTATGGTAAGAGCCTTCCTTAGGTTAACAAGTGTTTGGTTGATAGCAAATGCTTAATCAATATATTGATATTTATGGATATTCAAGAGTGTATGATATTGAAACTTTAAATATGTATAGGTCAGCCAGTTTGTCTTTGAATTCAGTTGGAAATTTTGATCATCACAAATTATATTTGACTGTATTAAAAGCAGTATTTATGGATAAACATTTAGAAGATTACACAAACACTATACTTTCACACTCTGGTTTTACAAATATGAAAAAGTTTTATTTACTTAGGATCAATCGTAATGACATAAAAGACAAGACTTACAAAATAAATATGAAAATACTCAGTCCTCAAGATTGAAAGTTTTTAAAGACTGAAAGTCTGAAAGTTTTTAAGACTGAAATCCTAAAAGGCTGAAAGTCTGAATCTCAAGATTTAATATACATATTGTGTTTTGAAGGATTGAAAGTCAGTATATGATTTGCTTGTAAAACTCTCTAAAATGAAGGAGCACATTCAGTGACATATTATAGAAAGAGTGGGAGATTTTTTATCTAATTCCTTACAAATAAAGAATATCACTATGAGATCCTTATAATGAAGTATTACTGTAGCAGAAATACATTGACCTTTAACCTGAAAAGTCAATAGAGGTGTTAAGATATTCATAGACAACAATGGTATAGCAAAAATTGTGCTGATCTTTGACCTGAAAATCAAAATATATTAAGTTTGTTTAATTAACCCATCTATGCAGTTTGATGAATATTAACTAAACAATTAAATTTAGCAGATGTCCACATCTCTTTGACCCTTTGACTTAAAACTTAATAAGGTCATTTATTTACCTTTGTTTGACTTTGATGAGTAACTTATATGTTGGATATATTAGCAAGACACAATCTAATCTGAGTAAAGAGGAAACCTGGAAAAGCTTTTATCCCTTTGTATGAACAAATTAATTGATGTCATGCAGATATCTTAACCAAAATATCAGAACAATCTGATGACTCTTAAATAAAAAGTTCTCATTATACTAGTCAGAAACCATTATAGTCTACCTGTCAAACACAGAAATATGAATGTCAACTCAACAAAGTAAGTAGGGTTCCTTTTCTTCAAAAAGTAAAATTTTGATGGATTAGGTGAGTGTTTGTTACTTTATGCCTATAAAGAAAAATATATGCCCTCCATTTTGACTGTATGGATTAAGAACTGTTTATATAATTGAATCAAACTTATTTCTTTCATGTCATTCTTAATGTCATAGCACCCATCATTCATATTATGTACAAGTTTCAATCCTAATAGATGAATCCACATTTTGTTTTTAATTCACATCACTTAGCAGCCATATTTGAGGGAAACTCAAAATTCTCTGTCCATGTTAATTTCTTGTGTATACCTTCATCATTTGACATAACTCATTTGCTTTGATTGCCTAAATCAGAGCTATTCATACATAAGAAGAGAACAAAAAATGAATACAGTGAATTTATTGCAATAATACCTGCATGTTTGATACATAAAGAGAAATATTTTTTTCATTACTTTTTGACATTTGGATTGACCCTGAATAGAGATAAGGTTTACATTTTGGCAAGTGTAAACTATATACTGCATGACTAAACATGGTTTGTATATTTAAATATGAAATAGTTTCTTTAATGCTTAAATCAAAATATTCCAACTATCCTAGTGAGAATTATGCTCAATTACCCTCTTTAGGAAGAAGGCTCAAATAGGATTTGCCTGCTGCCCAATTCTATTCACTTATGTATAAAAAAATTTGTATAAATTAATTAACTTTGTGAAATATTCCCAACTTCCAATGCTTCTTTATTTACATTTAAAAAAAAACTGACTCAAATAAAATTGTTTTCTCATTTATTTTACAAGAAATAACATCCTGACAGTGAATCTATTCATTTTTTTTAACTGGTTAAAGTAATGTTTCCAATTGTCTTAAAATGCTTAAATGCAAGTTTATTTCATAAACCAATACCTTAAGTGTATAGACTGAATTTACTTATGGATTAACCCCTTTGTAGTAAAAACATTTTTTAAACCTGATTTTCTTGTTTATTCTCTCATATATTTCCTAATTTGGGTATTCGCAAATTATTGATTACATAAGCAAACAAATTTAAGACAAAACTACAATATATGCTGAATACCCTGAAATGAAATGGTAACATATGTAAGATGTGTAACACATCATGTACAGCTTTTAAGTTTACAAGATTTTAAGCTACCCATATTATACAATAAGACTACTTTTTCAAAGTTTTGAAAAATTCTTTACAAAAATATAAATGCAAAAGATAAATGTTAGGGTACACTTTTAAAATACATTTTACATGAATCACAGAAGAACATTACAAATCATTTCTTTGAGCTTGTTTTCCTTTGGAACATCTGTGAACAAACATTCTGTTTTGTCTTTCTGATACATGAAAAGCGTCCAAAAATCATTTGGAATTGTTGTGTTAAACCCTGATATAATAATTTTAAGTTTCTGGTGTGTGCCCTACTTAGAAATGTTTACAATGTAACAAAGATGAAACTCATAATTTGATTTAATCAGCAATGATAAAGTCATCAGGTTTCTGCATGCTTTTCTGACACATCATGTACATTCTTTCTACTTGTTTGTCTTTGTTCACAAAAATTGAAATCAACAGTACTTAGCATTCCATATAAAGAAATATGAACCCTAGCTATTAGAAATTTTAAAATATATTTGTGCATCAATGCATTATGTTTAACAAATCAATCTCTTTCACTGTGATGAAAATTGTCTTCTTCATATAACATGCAGACAAAGAACTTCTTTGGATGATGTCATTTTCACATGTAGAAAAGAAACGAATTCAACTAAAACTAAAAGACAGTCATTAAAATTTTAAGGACATTAAAGGATGATATCAAGACCGAAGTCCAGGAATTGATAAAATTATATAATTATCATCCAAAGATGTATATGTTTGGATTTATTTTTTTAATTCACAAGCAAATGATATGCTGCCATTTAATCTTTCAAACTTTAAAAAAAAAGTTGTATACTTTTGAATTAAAAATTTCAAAATCTAGAGGAGTCTTCCCAATACCTATCTATTTATGACTGAAGGTATGTAAATCACCAGAGTTGCTGTACTGCACCATTTGAATAAAAGTCATATCCACAGTCTTGACTTTTTTCCCTAAACCTTATTTCAAAACATATATGATTCCAACCAGTCTTTATCTATGCAGTGAAAAGATTTTTACAGACTTCTAAGGTATTACATAGTAATAGTCTTTAAACATCTTTGAACATAGTGCATATGATTTACATTTCAATTCTTTCCAAAGAATATGCTATGCCACCCAATAAAGCTGATATAAAGTCACTAGGTTATCACAAAATGTTATAGTTACAACAACTGAATTTTACCCAGGAGAAAAATGATCCAAAAATCAATAGAAAATCTCCGAATCTTTCTTTACTTATGATGTGAATTTTGCAGGTTACAAATTATTGTCAAAGGTAGATATCTCAATAATCACAAGCTTTGACCCTGACAAAGTGTCCTATAAAACTAAGTGTATTACTCTAACCTGTTCTGTGTAGTAAGCATGAAGTCTAATGGTTGATAGAAATATTCAAGATATTATTACATCACAGATCAGGGGACACTTAACATCTTTATGGGGGTCCTATTGAGACCTATTAAATTCAAAATAGGACACACACACACACATACACAAACAAAATGTATTTACAGTTCCAGGAAAGTAATAATTACACCAAAGCTAGCTTTTACACATCTGTGTAATTTGTTAGGGGTTGTAGAAATAAGATGAAAAATAAAAGGTTTAAATGTATACTTCTCATACATAACAACTGTCTTCAATATGAATTGGTAAAAATAAAAGTCACATTTAGATACTTTGAAGTCTGGGAATTTTTTTTTTAAAGATCTCATACTATCAGAAAATAACAATATCAATTCTAGGATTTGATTAGACCTCATTTTGTTAAGGGCCATGCTTGCAACCAAGATGGGACAGGATTGTTGTGCCCCCACAAAGCCCTGCAGCAGGACATTTGCCACCCAGAACCCATGCAAGGAACAACAACAACCGTGCTAACACCCAAAACACAAGTTTAACTAGCACTTCTAGCTCTCCGGGCACCAGGGAAGAGGTTTTTAAAATATATATTAAAGCTTGTTGGCTGGTCTTGTGTCACAACTAATAAATAAAACCAACGGCCCTTTTAAGGGCCACCCAATAGTACAGAAAATAGGATTTTTACAGAAAACCAAGGTATTACATAGTAATAGTCATATAAACACCTTTGAACATTGTACATTTGATTAACATTTCATTCCTATTCTAAGAATTTGCACCTAATTTTTATAAAGTCTATAAGTTATCACACAATGTTAAAGTTACTGCATTACAGGACTCAAATCAGTAATCTCAGTTACTAACTTTTACCCAGGAGTAAATGATCCAAAAAAAATCTATAGAAATATCTTATTGATTCTTCATCTGTGTACTTATGATGTGAAGTTTGTAAGTTACAAATTATTGTCAAAGAAGTCATCTCAATAATCTTATGCTTTGACCTTGACAAAGTGTCCTTAACAACAAAGTGCATTCCTACAATCTTTCCATATGTAATAAGTATGATGGATGATAAAGATATTCAAGATATTATTAAAACACAGATTATGGGACACTTGCATCTTTATTGGGGGTCTTATTGAGACCCAATTTAAATTCAAAATTAAACATGATACATACACAAACAAAATATATTTACAATTCCAGGAAAGTTAAATAATAACATTAAATCCAGCATCTGGATATCTGCGTTAATTTCTAGGTGGTTGTAAAAATTAGATGAAAAATAAAAGGTTTAAATGTGTAATTCCCATACATAACAACAGTCTTCAATATGAATTGGTAAAAATAAAAGTCACTTTCAGATACTTTGAGGTCATTGAGAATTAGTTTTTAAAGAGCTCATGCTATCAGAAAATCATATTTTCAATACTTGATTTGACTAGATCTCAGTCTGATAAATGATTACACTTTATCCATAGTCAGTGTCTGACAGTGAAAGATACAATCCTGAGTCCTTTCTTTGTCATCCTGTAAACCACAGTCTATGACCGTATTGGTTAAATTGGTTGGAAATCATATTTATCTATGTTCTTCTTAAATCCTCCATCTTCTTAAGTTTGGTTTTCTTGTTTCAGTGTTCCAAGAGAGGATATTCTGTTAGTCTTTGCATAATCTGAAAGTCTTTCACCATTCTAAGAGTAGACATAGATCATTTCCATAAGCCCTCACAAGAGAATCCTGAAAAAATCAAAAAAATAATGTCTTAGTTGAAAAAGAAAAATTGTAATGCAATATAAGCTTGATGGAATTCTAAATATAGACAAAAAGGGTATAAACACAAGTTGTAACATAAGATTTTGACTTTCCATATTAACCATGGGTAACACCTCCAGTAAAGAAAAGAGTAAAGGAATGAGTAAAATTCAGTTTGGAGAGAGAATTCTTTCAGAGAAAGATGTAGACAGAGGTATACCAGTTAAAATAAAAAAAGATGGCACTAGTGAGATCATTTCTCAACAAGAATATAACCAATTAAGTCCAGAGAAGGGTGATCCTAATGTTGTCAGAGATTACATAGAAAGACCCTTGATTGCAGAAGAAGCCAATGAGGAATATAACCATTTATTACCAAAAGAGGGTAAGAATTACTTGGATTACCCTGAAAGACCTTTGACTAGAGAAGAAGTCAAGTTTATAGATGATAAGAGAAAACAGTTGTCAGAAAAAAAAAAGATTCTTAAAGACACATGATTTTTAGCCCACAAAACCATTGGAGATACAAGGATTATCAGATACAAGGATTAATGGAGGAAGTCCAAACTGAACTCTTGGAAGACATTAAGGCTCATTATGAGAGTAACTTTTCCAGTATTTGTTTATTACAAAATTATGTATTCTAATTAAAAAAAAAAGTTTTAACTTTCATTTGTTGTGCCTAAGACCATTTAAATTGACCTTATGATCAAGATTGTGATATATACATTCTGATATTATCATCTACGATGTCTCTATGATGTCTACCTCAAAAGATTGAATCAGGGTATTTGTGTTCAAAGACCTGAAGAAACTATACAGACAGATCTAAGATTTTGGAAGCATGCATATTAATGAGGTTAAAGGAGATATAACACTAGATTATTATAAAAGAAAGAACACAAACTCATAGAAATTATATTGAAAGTACCTTTTATGAATAAAGTGTCATGCTCCAAAGTATTATTTTTATAAACAGGAGAAGGTTTACAGCAGTCCCATACACTCAGAAAAAGATCTTGGTTAGTAGAAACACCAGGGAATGTTATTTCCACACAATCAGATCATCTTACATCAGTTATAAGGTTACAATCTTTATACATAGTCAAGAGGGTCATTAAGATTTCTTTTATGGTCATCCTAATGAGCCACATTATAGTATTCTTTCCCTTTGATATAATGTTAATATTAAATGGAAAATTCAGAATTCATCAGCAATTGAAGTCAAAACTTCTTATCTTTACCAACTATGCTATTAAGGAAGCTGGGGGTTTACAAATTAGCCATATTTAACTTATTCTATAGATATGCTATCTTTAGCTGTTAACTACCATTTGGCAAAGAAAAACTTCATACATTTTAGTTTTAAAATTTGATCATGATTTTTATGCCTTTTCTTGTGAAGGATATCAATATGGTTTAAACATGACCATGACCACCAAGCCCTCTTTATTTTAAAAAAAAATAATATATCATTTACTTATCAATTCCAAAATATAAAAATGCATATGTAAATAAATAAATAAATAAATAAATAAATAAATAAATAAATAAAAATTACAATTGTATCTCATTGAAACTTTACCTTCAAGTTTGTGTGTTTCTATGTTGATTGACAAACTGTGTATTTCCAAAGGAAGACCAGCAGCCAGGCTTCACTTCATAGAGAATGGATTATAGATGGTTAAGAACAAACCAATTCTTCCATGTTGAGGACTGTAGAAATAAAACCATTTTGTTAATATGACAGAGTACTGCATGAAACAATGCATGTTTAAATACAACATGTACAATGCCAAAAAAGATCATGAAAATATTTGTTTTTAATCTCAAAAAATTGTTTTTAACATTAACTCCAGGTGAGAAAAGTTCATCATGTTATCTATAGATAATAAACAAGCACAACTACTGTATTAATATCATAAATAAAATGATTATCAGATTAATTATTTAGACACTAAAAAACTTACTATCTTTATGATATTGATTTCCATTATCAGATGTTTTTTATCCATTTTTTTTTATCCATTTTAAAATATAAACATTTAAATAAAACAGAATTAAATAAATGAAAATGATATCTCATTGAAACTTTACCTTCAAGTTTGATTGTTTCTATGTTGGTTGACTAACTATGTATTTCCAAAGGAATTTGGGCAGACAGGCTGAACTTCATAGAGAATGGATTATAGATGGTTGGGAATAAAACATATCTTCCAGGTTGAGGACTGTAGAAAATATAATCATTTTGTTAATATGACAAGGAACTGCATGAAACATTGCATGTTTAAATACAGTGCCAAAAAGTTCATGAAAATAGTTCATCATGTTATCTTTAGATAACAAAAGAAGCACAGTTACTGTATTAATATCACAAATACAAAATGATTATCAGTGTAATTTTTAGACATTAACAGACTTTCTCTTAACAGCATATTCAATTTTGTTTAATACCTGTCAGTACAGCATACAAAAAGATATTAGCATATACAACATGTAGTCCTACATTTTTTGAAAAGCTCATTACCAAGAAACAAAAGTGAAAATGAAAATATATGTATGCCATATCTACCACATATTTAGAATCAAAACAACGATAAACCTTTTGTAGATTCTTACTTTTTCTTTTATTACATTCCTTATAGATCACAATTTAGTAAGTCTGAATTCCATGGGTAACAGACATAATGAATTATGATATTATATCATAATTTATGCAAAAGGACTTATTAACAATATGAAGTTTCCTTAGTATATTTTAGACAAAATAAGACTGTGCTTATATGAATGTTAGAGATATTAGTTCACATAAGAATTACACAGTAATTAAATTAAACCATATAATCATGGTTAAATGCAAAGATGACCTTCATAGGAAATGTAAACAAAATAAAGACAAACTTACCAGAATTATCCAATTATATGCCCAATTAAATAATCCAGTGAAATAACATCTCAGCTGATCCTGAAAAAAAGCATACAATATTCAGTGATACACAAATTAACCTCATTTTACAAAGGAAGTAAAGCAACAATTGACAGACAAACAGGACAGAAATGTAAAAGATACCATATGTATTTTACCAAAATTTAGTAAACATTTTTTCTGATTTAAATTCAATCACAGAATGACCCATCATAGTAATATTAAATACACTCTGGGTTACATGCAAATTATACCTTACATGAACTGAGAATAAATACCCCATTTACATTCATATAAACTGAATTTTACATAACTAATTACTCTTTTAACTGATGTCACCATTAGTATGTCAGAATATTCAGGGTGTACAAATGATGTATATTCACTTTTAAAGTACTCAATATATATTTTACATGTTGATGTTTGAAATCACTGACTAAATAAAATACATACATGTATATACATGAAGGTTTAAAAAAAAGGGGGGGGCACACATGTTTATAGATTTACAGAGATGCTCAGACTGAGTTTTTCCCACTTTCGTTGGGCCACTGTTGCACCAGAATATGAGTGACAAATAAGGCAAAAGATTCTGTATATTTCATTAAAAAAGATTTGAGACAAAAGATTCATTGGCATAATATGATCTGATTGATTATCTCCATATCCTTCTTTTGGTCACTGTGATTAAAGATTCATAGAAATATTAGAAATGACAACTGAGAATATCACTTTAGTTGTTTTAAAAGCATGTATCAGTATTTTATAAGATATGCTAGGAGTCTCCTCATAAGAATATTTAGAATACTGATCCAATAAAAGGAATGTGAGACAATATAATCATAACTCATGCAAAAAAGATTTATCAACATTTTGAGGATCTTTTAGTGTCCTAGTGTATTTCAGGGTAAACAATGGCAGTGTTTATATGAATGTTCTAAACATAAGGTATATAACACAGTAATAATGAATAAATACAAAGATGACCTTCATAGAAAATGTATAAAGAAAAGTTTGTTAAAACTTACCATGTAACCAGGTAACTCAGTAGAGTAATATTCATTAAATAATCCAGTGAAATAACATTTAGGCTGATCCAGGATTCAGCTGTTCAGAACTTTCTTGGAAGAAAAACGGTAGAAAATCAGTTTTGGTACTGAAATCCATAGGACCATACTGTTATTACATGAAGTCTCAAGCGCTGTGAAAGTCTATGTTATTGTGTCAAAATAAGCAGCCATCGCGGCTTGTGAAGGACTAACATGACGTCGCTGCCAAGTTTATGACGTCACAATGCATAGGTAAGCTCGCTGACTAGATAGTTTACAGAAAGATAAGTCCAACCTATTTTCAGGTCTGGGCGGCCTCCGTTTTTGGAGGATAGCTAGATTCAATATGGCAGCCAAATTTTTTACCATATATAGAAATCGCAATGCAATGTCGGATAGTTTATCTTCTGATTTCAGAGGATAGCACAGGTAATTTTCAAACGCCGCATGCCTACCTTTAATCAAAAAGTGCAAGCACCAGAGTACAATTAAATAAAAGATCAGACATTAAACTATCAATTGTATGTGGCGATTTGAGATTCTATGTCTAGAATTTTTACAATACGCTTTCAAAGTTGGCATTTCTTGCGCTTCATTTCTACTTAATATTTCTTGTTATTTTGTTTAATTTTTATGTTTTTTCCCTATCAGGACAAATAAAAAGGCACTTAAATGCTCAAACAATACATAAATAACATTACTTTCATATTTCTTTTAATTAAAGATTAGAGGAAAAGGAAACACAAAAGAAAACGTACTGTAAAGACAAAATACACTCTGCCTGATAATTTAAGCAAAGATAAAATAAATATTATTTAGAGAAAATAAGAAAAAAATCCCACTTTTTAGCTGTGCAGCATCTAAACTTCCGCTAGAGTTCTTAGATGAGGCCTCGACGGGGACCATGCATTCGCAGTAAATATATTTCCACGGACAACGTAAGTTTCAGTCAGATTAGTTTTGACAACGGGTAGACGCAATTGAATTTAAGTCAGTCTTAACTGATAAGGGGGACGGTCTAACCTTGCTGTAGATGGAGATTGATCCTAATTTATTTCAGGGGTCTTAATATTTCAGTTTTATTAGATATATACACATACAACAGTATAGAAGACTAATACAGAACGGAAAGTAGCTCCGCCCACTGTAGTCCCGTGCAGAAGAGCAAACTTCAAAGAAAAATTCCTCTACCGTCTTATTAAATGAAATAATAATGAAACTGAATTTTTCAAAAATATGTTTTTTAAAACTTTTATGCTGTTAACACATAATTATGGTACCGGAAAATGAGGTTGGCTATAATTAATTTTCAGACAGGAAAGGGTCTTTAACAAAGCTTTCAAATGAATAATTTATTGACAGCAAATTACCAAAATTTGTTAAAATGATTTAAATACCTATATTTAACCATCATCGTATGAAATTTAACCTTTTATTTGTTTTGGTTGAAAAATCAGAGTACGGTACATAAACTGGGACTTGAGATGCAAGAGTTGCTGTTATTTGTTTAGTTTAGACTGCCCTTTGTTTTGAAAAGTCCGGTAGGTGGCGACACCTCCATCCTCTGTTTCTAGAGAATAATATCTATCCTCCAAAAACAGAGGCCGCCTAGACCTGATTTTTGCAAGATGATGCAACAGGTATAATAAGATGATGCAACAGGTATAAAAAAGATGATGTAACAGATATAAAAAGATGATGCAACAGGTATCAAAAAGATGATGCAATAGATATCAAAAAGATGATGCAACAGATATCAAAAAGATGATGCAATAGATCTAAAAAGATGATGCAACATATGTACTGAATTGACCCGGCTATCCCCCACAGGGGCTGCACTCTCTTGACCCACCTATCCCCTCCAGGGGCTGCACTCCCTTGACCCACCTATACCCCTCCAAACCTGCACTCCGTTGACCCGCTTATCCCCCTCAGCCCCAAAAGTGCACTCAGTTGACCACCCCATCCAGGCCCCTTATACTACTAACATTGGTTGCCCTTTAAAGTATATCGCTCTTTTAATTTTATACATACTCATAAATGTATAAAATCTTTACCATTCTCAAAAGGAAAATACTCAGATGAAGCTAAAGATATTCCTTGATAAGAAACGGCTACATTCATAAGACAATGTGAATCTTCACATGTCTTAAATCGCTGATACCATTATCGAAAAAAATATTGATCTTCGTATAAGTAGCACAGGGCATAAAACGGGCTTAAAATGTTTGATGAAAGTATTGTCAAATTTTGACAATCGACTGGAAAGATCAGGGTTACGATATATCCAAACTTTCTTCAGAAAATGTGAGTCTAAATGTGATTTATCGTGGAAGTATATCATAGAGATGAGATCCAAAAACATTTGAATTGAATCGTAACATGCTTTAAAAATTATAAGAAAAGTTGCAAAGATCTGAGAATGGCGTTGTTTACAAGAAGAAATTAAAATACTTACGAACAATATCCCTGACTTGATGTTTCCCCAGTGTTTAGTACTAAAATCAAAATGATACAAGCTAGTTTCATATCAAAGAATCCAAATGTCCGGCAAGAGGTATTAAACTATGAACATCCAAGCGGATATACCAGGAAATTGTATCAAATCTATAATTAGAGTTTATCAAATGTTTATGTTCATAATAGAAAAAAAAAATTCCTGCCTTTCTCATTAAATCGATGCTTAATAAAACTTTAAATCGTACAATTATTTTAATCACGTCCTTTTAACCTAAATTTTCTTGTCATGCTTTCATAACCTACACGTAGATAACCTTGTACATGATAGATTCATGCACACCTTAGGATCGCTCTTTTCCAAATAAATTGCCAATATTGTTCAGGCGGCTAAAGGTACAAAGCTCTTTCGTTACCAATTTAAAAACAAATTATGAGTTTTTTTTTTAAAATAATCTATTTCTCTTAAAACCTTTTTTTTGTAAAGTTGAAAAGAAATATACACTATTCTATGTTAAGTTTATATATACTAGTATTTGGAGTAAGTATGTTAATTTTAAATCAAGGAAATGTGTTGAAAATACAATATGATCACGTGTATACACACCTACATCAGAGACTTACCAACCTTACACCCATTTCGATGTTATTATTATTCCTTATACTAGTAACTGAATTTTCATTTATTTTGTATGAGAAAATAAAACGATTGCCCTTCTAACACGATTTCAAATTATGCATAGTTTAAATGAGACGTCGGGCGGATCGATACGTTTTTGATGCAAGTCATGTGATTTTATATAATATAAACGAAAATAAAAATAAACCAATAAAATGGCATTTTAGTGATTTTACAATCATTATTCAATTATTTGACCATATAAACATAATTTAGAATAAATGAAATTGAAAGTTTATTTTTACAGAAATATGTCTGCTAAATATTTTTCACCTTGGGACAAATTAAATTCTGAATCAAAACTGTAAAAATGGAATAGTAGGGCAGAAAAAAATTATTTACAAATAAAACATTGAAAATGTCTAAAGTTATTCCTCCGTGAAATGGTTCAAAACGAAAAAAAAAATCCTAGACGTTCAAATTAGATATTTTAACATCTTTCATATCCTTTTCATATTCCAAATAATGATCCGCCGAAATATGACTGAAATATTGCCGACTCGGTGTTTAACAATATACAATCAATCAATCCAAATAAAGAATTCATATTTTGCTTCGTTGAAAAAAATCAATATCAGAAGATATTTAGTCCTCATTCAAATTGACCATTTCATAGTGGCTTATTGTGTGAAAACTTATCTAATCAGTAAAGGATTAAAACATTGACAAATAAAATAATGCTGTTGGAGCATATTTGCAATTGGTAGCAAACAAATTCAAGTGAAATTAAAATCATTTTAGTTACAGAGAATGGATTGTTTTAGGAAAGTGTTTTTGAGAAACTTATGACGGAGAGTTTTTTGACATTTCAAAACATAAAGGTGTGTCACCAAAAGAACATCAACGAAATAGATACTTTTACATATGAAAATGTGCCTGTCTTACATTTCTTGAATAGGGAAATAAAATATCGCATTGTCTGCGAACTTCCAAACAGCCCTCTTTAATCGATGCCTACAAATTGTTAATCTCTCATAAAACTTCCAAATTCAACTTTTTCGTTTTCAGATATACCAATACGAGATAAGACGACGCTTTGTTGTGTCTTATAGGTGACAAGGAGCACATGTAGGTAATGCAGTATAAAGTATCAGTCACATTATCCAGCGATGGAGTATACGATGAGAAACCGATGCGTTTTTTGATGAAAATGGCATAATTGCCGGCCGGGCACCACTAGTGATCGGACGGTGACTGAGGCCATTTTGCGAATCGGTGGGGTCATCGGTAGGAAATAATTCGTAGTTAAAATTCAGCGATGTCTCCTACGATGCCTCATATCGCTCCTCATCGATAACCCATCATTAACACATCTTTCAAGGATCGGCCGATGTATGGCCGAGAATCGTCCAATCTCCGTTGAATCAGAGGTCATCGGGGGGTTGAGTGGTGTTCAACAGATAACTGCCGATCACCGGTCGATTTTCGACCAAACATTGGCCCGTAGTCGACCGATGTACGAACGATGTTCACCAATGTATGAGCTATGTAATATACATCGGCCGATTATCCTGAAACATCGTTTTTTGATTAGCAATGCATCGCTGGGCCTTTATAAGTCCGACCGCCATTTTTATCATAAAACGCATTGGTTGCCCATCGTATACCCATCGCTGGATAATGTGACTGATATTTTAAGGACTACTAGGCCGATGTGGACCGATGTTGGGGCATCGCTAACACCACGGATTACCAACGATTACCACCGGTCTACGGCTACCGGCCGGGAAATGTGACCTAGGCATAACCTGTTTTGATAATCGATATTTTAACTTGTCACAGAGAATTGAAGAGAGTTGAACATTTTGTCATGGATTTTGAGTCTTTCTTTGTTTGTGAGTAAACATTACAACTTCATTTTTTTCGTATATAAACATTTGTACGCATGCTAAAAAGCCGCGATCAAACACAAAATCTAGTACTTAAATTTATTAAGAAAGAAAGGAAATGAAATATTTATTTATAGCAAATTTCTTAGTGAATATCTAAATTAAAGACTTTTATGACATTATTTTACCTGATTCAGATAAGAATGGAAAACGTGAATTTTCATGTCTCGTCATTATCAATATGTATACTTCATTTGTTAAAACTATTCTATTTGTATACACAAGTATTCTGACGGTGATCGTTCATGGCACCTGAGCCCATCACTGATGTCCTTGTTTGAACTGCAACATTTGGTTGTGAGGTCAATTACAATTTCTTTTCTTTAAGGATATCCGATCCTCAGCCAGGAAGGATAACTCTTTAATATATGATTTTAAAAAAGTCTTAAAATAAAGCTTGAAACTTAAAATTTTTTATGCAACAATTTTTATTTTATGCCTCTTAGTATGATTCAATGTTCTTTACAGTTTTTATAAACGGTATTAAAAAGTTGACAATTGTATCTCATACAAGTAAGTAAAACTTGCATATTTCAAAGAAAAATAAAGTTAATTTAGTCTTAGTTACCAATGTTTAAAAGCCTGGATACCCATGATTTTATTCCTAAAAAGTATTTATTGATCAATTAGAAAATATGCAATAGGTAGTTCTAATCGCATTTCTTGAAAATTTATTTGAGAGACATACTTATTTTCCATATATAACATGATTAACTTTAAAGATGAAGTTTTAAGAAACACCGTGGGTAAATATTTAGAGACATCTTTGTGAGCATTTTCAATTACTCAATGAATGATTTTCAGAACCTGAGGATCGGATTACCTTAAAAGTATACATGCTATAACTTGCGCCAGTTTGAACAAGATTGGAGATTAATGTATTTTGTTTATCAACAAAAGTTACGAAAGTACTGTAAATTACAACATTAAAATTAAACGCGTTATAAAGCTATCAAATTATAATTATTTATATTCCTGCTAGGAGAGAAATACAATACATGTAGCTATTTTTAAATAAATCCATCACGTGACGCCGTCGCTACTTTTAGATTGATAAACAAACATGGCGTGAAGAAAACAAGGTAGGCGTTTGAGATACTACTCACTTTTGACGTGGATGGCAAGCGTCTTACTCTTAATGATATCTATATTTTACTGTTATCAGTAGCAACCATCTACTCTGTTATGACGCATATTAACCTTTTATTATAATAATTGTTGTCAAAATATCCAACATGCCTCGTCTGTGATTTCCCGTGGACATGCGTGTCTATTTATAGGCCTACTATTTACGCACTTCCTTCATCAATATTCATGAAAAGACTGAATTCTTAATTGCCAGTTATTGCTTGATTGTTTTGTTATTACAACGACGTCTATAGTAAAATTTTGTGGAAAGAATTATTTTTTATTACACTTCATGTGTTTCAAATCATTTATCATTTTGTTTCACACAAATTTCGGAGTTCATATAGCGTGTAGGACTTTAAATTTTCTTATTTTTTCATACGTTGATCAGATTCGATTCAACGAAAAATTAGAAACCTCGGAGTCAAACACATCTGCTTCATATGAGGATATCTTTGCCGAGGAAGACATCTATTGCAAACTAACAGCTTAGTTTATGACTTCGACTTTTCTATCGTCAACTTTCTTTGTGTATGCAGCATATACTCGCACCATTATCAACATTATCACTTTTATAGGGGACTTATTCGATATAAAGAAGATGTTTGTCATACAATTTTTTTAATGCGAGCTAGGCTCCTGACAATAAAGTTAATAATACAAGGGTACTTACAATAAATATCGTTAAAAGTCAACATATGGCTAAATCTATGGTAGATTCAAGGTTAAGTTAACCATAAACCTTACCCTGAACTGGTTTGCTAATGCAGTCTCTCGTTGGGTCTAGTGTTTGCTGATGGCTTTTGTACTATTTGATAGACTATTTTCTTCGTACTAAAATGTCTATGGATTTTTAAGAGTCTTTATGTGTTCTGCTCAAAATATTTTTTTTCATTGGAATTTTGAGAACGATTACTCTTACTCATATCTAATTCATTAGAATGTTATTTTGAAGAGTTCTTTGTATTTGAATACATGTTTTACTAATACATGTATTAATTTATTTTTCATTTATCAAGATCAAGGTATAGTGCATAAATTAAAATGAAAAAATCAATGAAATAAGATATGCTTCTTTTAATTAAAAGGCTAATTGCTTATATTAAAATCCACAAAAATTTAAAACGTGAAATTGAATGTTAGTTTTGATGCCTAACCGAATAAGAGATAAAACATAAGTTATTAAAACGTGATAGATGAATAATTTAGACGAGGAAAAACTACCAAACCTTTCACAAAGTTGAAAGATCATATATTGCTTATACCGTTTAGAGGGTATTTTATCGAGGTGCTAACTTTGGCTTATTTTAGCAGTTTTGTAGTAAGCTGCGTAAAATTTAATCGCCAAATTTGACTCTTCTTTATCACAACTGATCATGAATATAAGAAGCATTAGTTTAAATAAATTCGATTAATC